CGCGACGTCAAGCCGGAAGTCCGCACTCACATGACTTTTGAGTCAGTGTGTGTGTGCTCACCGGCACAACCCAGACAAAGGAGAGAGAGAGAGATGGACTGAAATTGGCTGCCACCGTCTTCTCCGGCTGCTTTGGCTGCTCCAGCAGCTGCCTGCCCTATGCCTTAGCTGGCTGAGTGGGCCCTGCATCCTCCACGGGCTTGCTGCCTCTGCCCTTTCCCGCTGCAGTTGCTGTGCCCTGCCCTGTCTTTCTCTGCTGCACCCCAAATCCCTCAGCCAGCTGCCTCTGCAATACCTCCAACAAGGGGCCAGATGCTGGGAATAAGCTGGCTTCAAGAAAGGGGGCCACCCATCACCTGTTTGGCACAGCGCCACACCCCATCTGGTCAGCTGAATGGGGCTTCAAAAAGTGGATTGCAATGTTTTGAGGTTGTTGTTGATTGATTGCTATCTGATACAGTGCTATACCAGACAACAGGAATTATTTTAAAAAATGATATGAGCTGAGACGTGTTCATCTACGTGGAATCGATTTCAATGAAGCGATTCCACATCTGCCTTAAAATAATTAGAACTCTGGTGGAGGAGGAGAAAAACTCGCTGCCACTCAAAATAACACAATCCCCTACACCTTGTGTATTCGGTAACATTTAAATTGAATTTTTATTATTATTCTCCAAAACAAATACATCAATACAAAACAATACAAAATACTGAGTAACAATCTAAAACACATTGCACCCCCATACCCACAGGACCCTTTGGAGTAATTCTTTTATTATGAACCTCCTTTCCAAAACTGTATTGATTGTTGCTTAGAGGCTTTCCCCAGCAAAACAATTTTGATTTAAATTCAATATATTTTCCAAATATATCACATATTTCCTTAAAATCGATTTCCAAAATTTATGGAGCAATTTAGATGCCCACCATATATGATAATACATGCCAATTTCTTCATCACATTTCCAACAGGCCATAGAATAGTCTGAATTTATTCTGTTTAATTTCACTGGAATCATATACTGTACCACCTTAAACTATTTTTTTAAAAAAAATCTCCTTTATTTTTACTGACATTAATCTTAGAATTCTCATCTTCAAAATTTTTACCCAATCCTCTGTCTTATTTCTGTCTTTAAATCATGTTCCCAAATTGATTTTAATCCTTCTATTTCAATCTCCTTTTCCTTCTGGTCCAAAATTAGGTTATAAATTTTACTTACAACTCCCTTCTTCAAAGCATCCTTCTGCATGTCTTCATGTGATGATAGAAATGGTTCATAGTACATTCTCTTCATTTGCCATTAATCCTCAACCATTCATTATTCCATCTGTCTAACTGGATATAAATGTACCATGATAATTTATTAGTTTGAAGTTTAA